AAAGCCCCTCAAACCCCGTGCTTGTGTCATCCCACAGTCGTGTTGTGCGGCTTTAAATTGGGTCATGAAGTCCTGTTTGTATCTTTCCGGCAAGAAGCAGTAGACTGTTTCGAAAGCCATTTTCTTAGATGGATGGGTTCATTTTGTAAACGACAGCTGATTATTTAAGACAGCAACCTTATCCACTGCACGACCACGTAATTTCTTTTACAAAAATTAAAATCAGTTCTTGGCTATTGTGCAAAAGCAGAGTATGAGCTGTGGCAGCGGGAGTCGCGGGAGAACAAACACGTACAAAGTTTCTTCTGTTCTTTGATTATTGTTTGGTTGAAAGTGATGCAGCCAGAACCGTAACCAAAGAAGGCATCATGCTTCCAGAAACTTCTCGGGAAAAGTATTGAAAGCAGTGGTAGTTGCTGCTGGATTGGGCCCTAAAGGAAAGGGATTCAAGAAGTCAGTGTGAAAGTTGGAGATAAAGTTCCTCTCTCAGAATATGGAGGCACCAGAGTAGTTCTAGAGATGGTGACCTTCTTGGAAAGCAGGCAGACTGAAATAATTCACTGTTGAAATGGCATCAACGTGAAGCTGCTCATTCCACTGAAGTTCTAAAATCTTACAACATATATTAATTGCCATGTCTTTTATAACAAAGTAATTATATCTAAACTAATGACATCAGTGTCTCTATAATTTACTTTCACTGTACTGATAAATACACTTCCAAATAAAAATATGTGAAATGAAAATAATGAAATCAGGTCCATCATGGACATTTGAGTAGCAGAATACACAGAAGAAGAGAGCACGGGGCTAAAAGGATGTGTATATTTGAATCCCATTAACACAACTTGTAGCAAATCATGTCACTCTCTCTCAACTTCAATTTCTTCAGTAGGAAAATAGGGATGATAATTCTGTCTTATAGTTTATTTCCTTGTGTGAATATCAAGTGAAAGAATTAATTCACGCTTTGAACATAATTATGTATCACACCAATTTAAAGCATTGTTGGGCTGAACTAGATGAAATCCAAATTTGGTGCAAATATATTGAGACAAAATTTTGTATTAGCTTAATTTCCCCTTAGGACAGAGGTATAACAGTTTTTATTTATTAATTTTTTATTGTTTGTTTATTTATTTTGAGATGGAGTCTCACTCTGTCGCCAGGCTGGAGTGCAGGTGGTGCGATCTCGGCTCACTGCAACCTCTGCTTACTGGGTTCAAGCAATTCTCCTGCCTCAGCCTCCTGAGTAGCTGAGACTACAGGCGTGAGCCACCACAATCCAGCTAATTTTTGTAATTTTAGTAGAGATGGGGCTTTACCATGTTTTCCAGGATGGTCTCAATCCCTTGACCTTGTGATCAAGAGATCCCAAAGTTCTGGGATTACAGGTGTGAGCCACTGTGCCCAGCCTAACAGTTTTTTATTTTCTAATATTCCTCTCAACAATAGAGACAATAAAACTTCCTGATTTTTGAAAAGCTGTAAGCAATAATTAATGGATTGCAGGTCTGAGAGTTGGGATGCCTATGATCTAGCTGTAGTTTTGTTGTTTATTTACAATTATGGGAAAATATGTTGCATGCTCTTTATCTGAGTTTTGTTCTCTCTTAAATAATAAAGTTTACTATGTTTACTTTTTTTTTTTTATTTTTATTTTTGAGACTGAGTTTCGCTCTTGTTACCCAGGCTGGAGTACAATGGCGCGATCTCGGCTCACCGCAACCTCCGCCTCCTGGGTTCAGGCAATTCTCCTGCCTCAGCCTCCCGAGTAGCTGGGATTACAGGCACGCACCACCATGCCCAGCTAATTTTTTGTATTTTTAGTAGAGACGGGGTTTCACCATGTTGACCAAGATGGTCTCGATCTCTTGACCTCGTGATCCACCCGCCTCGGCCTCCCAAAGTGCTGGGATTACAGGCTTGAGCCACCGCATCCGGCCCCTTTGTTTGCTTTTATAAACTTAAGTGGACATTCCTAAGAACTCGAAAACTTTGACTATCCCTGGGTGATTTAGACCTTGGCTTTCACAAGCACGATACAGTATGTGTTATTACACTTGTTCTGTATTCTTTAGTGGAGGCCCATATGGAGAAGGAGATGTTCATAAAAATCACTATCAAACTCCCAATTCCAAAAGTTAGTATTCTGTAAGGAAAAAAGGCTAAGAAGTGAATATTTATGGTGCTTTTTTCCCTAAGTGCATTTAGCCTTCTTTTAAGAAATTCAGTCAATTGTATTCACCCTTCAATGAAAGTGTTGTTTTCCCCAGAAAGAATCACATATTTGCTGTGAAGTTCAAAAAGTCCTAATTTTTGCTGTATTTGTTACAGCGGAGTGTGCATAAAAATACTTGAAATAAATGAGATAATTGCCCAAGTATGGCTCTTTCATTGTTGACAGGACTGTCGTTGGTCAGTCAGTAACACACTTGGCAGATAGCACGATCACAAAGTATCATCTTTTATATCCATACTGCCTTTATTTAATTTCTATTTTAATGAACATAATAAAGATAGCAAGAGATAGGGTCATAAATCTAACCCAAACAATTTATTTGTTTAGACTTACATTTAAACTTCTGCTTTGGCAAGTCGGTCATTCCTTTTTTTTTTTTTATATAAGTCAGGGTCTTGCTCTGTCACGCAGGCTGGAGTTCAGTGGTGTGATCATAGCCAGCTGCAGCCTTTGACCCCCAACAGGCTCAAGTGATCCTCCTGCATTGGCCTCACAAACTGCTAGGATTACAGGCGAGAGCCACCATACCTGCTCCTGTGCTCTTGTTGATAGATATTTAAGTCATTTAAAGTTTTTTGATCTCACAGTGTTTCAATAAATAATCCTATTTTTTCTAGCACATGGGCCTGCATGTAGGACATACTTAGAAGCAAAGTTGCTGAGTTGAAGAGCGTATGTGCTTTAAATTTTACCAAATTACCTTCAAATAAAACCTACCAGTTTATGCCCCACTACCGGTATACAAGAAGACATGTTTTCCCTTACTCTCACCAATAACTGATATTACCAGTTTTAAAGTTTTGCCAGTCTCATATACAAAAATATAATTTTTAAAATAGTTTGATTTGAACATTTTATTATATTTATGCCCTTTTTTCCTCTGTAGTGATGGTTTGTATGATTGTTTGTATTGTTTTCTTTATAGTTTGTTTTGTTTATATTTTAAAAATTATTTTATATACAACCATACATACAGGCAATTCTGTATTGGTCAGCTTATCTGGATGCTATTTTTTCTATTCTATATGCTGTTAAGTATTTTATTCCAGTCTGTGGCTTAATACTGAACTTTGTTATTTTTGTTGTTGCTGTTCAACTGTTTAACCATTTTTATGAAGTCAAAGTTATCAATTTTTTCTCTCTGCCTCCTGTATTTTGTGCTTTGCATAAAATTTTCTTTTTCTATGAATTTTTATTTTCCTGTTTCTGTGAATAACCAAATGTGTTAGCCTATCAAGTATCTCTCAAACAGCTGATTGGGCTGTACTCCTGTATTTCTTTATCTCCACAGAGATCAGAAAGGGTTTTCATTAAAAATGAGAAAGTTTACTACTTTTGCTTTAAAGATGGTATGGCTTCTTCTGTTTTGTTTGTTTGTTTGTTTGTTTGTCTGTTTGTTTGTTTGTTTGTTTTGATAGAGTCTTGTTCTGTCACCCAGGCTGCAGTGTGGTGACACAATCTCAGCTCACTGCAACCTCTGGATTCCTGGTTCACGATTCTTGTGCCTCATTTTCCTGAATAGGGGGATTATAGGCATGTGCCACCAGGCCTGGCTAGGACTGTGGCTTTTAACCTAGGCATTTCATCATGTTTTTTTGTTTTTTTTTCGGATTTTTTTGTTTTTCAGAGTGAGGGTCTTACTGGCTGGAGTGAGGTGGCATGATCACAGCTCACTGTAACCTTGGACTCCTTAGCTCAGGTGGCACTCCCGCCTTAGCCTCCCAGGTAGCAGAGACTACAGGTGCACACCACCATGCCCAATTAATATTTTTTTTTTTATGTGGTGGTGCACTCCTGTAATCCCAGCTACTTAGGAGGCTGAAGCAGGAGAATCGCGTGCACCTGGGAGACGGAGGTTGCAGTAAGCTGAGATCACGCACTGCACTCCAGCCTGGGTGACAGAGCAAGATTCTGTCTCAGGAAAAAAAAAATATATAATATGTATATTTACATATTGTATACATATAATTTATAAAATTATAAAATTTTATAAAAATTATATATAAAATTATAAAATTTATAAAATTATAATACGTATATATTATATACATATAATTTATAAAAATTATATATATAATTTTATAATTTATAAATATATACATAATTTTATAATATGTATAATATATATAATTTTGTTATCTATATATAAATTATATATATTATCTATATATAAAAAATTATATATAGGCTGGGAGTAGTGGCTCACGCCTGTAATCCAAGCACTTTGGAGGCCAAGGCGGGCGGATCATCTGAGGTCGGGAGTTCAAGGCCAGCCTGACCAACATGGTGAAACCCCATCTTTAAAAAAAAAATTATATATATATATATAATTTTTGCAGAAACGGGGTCTTGCTTTATTGCCCAGGCTGGGTTTGAACGCCTGGGTTCAGGTGGTCCTTCAGCCTCAGCCTCCCAAATTGCTGGAATTGCAAAGATGAGCCATCACGCCTGGCCTAGCATGTTTTCTCCAATATAGTCCTAATGAAGGAAACATTGAATATTATCTGGTGTGTTTAACCTCAAGTATAAACTTGAATAATTTGTGTAGACCATCATACACGTGCTGCAGCTGCACACCAAACCTGCTCTCTGAATTGTTAACCAAAGTGCTGATGTATCTGTGTTTTTTCTTAGTTCGATGATTTTAAATGTCATACAATTCATAGGCAGAAAATGATTTTAATTCTTATTGTTTAATAAAACAATATACTTTAAATGGGGAAATGCTTAATTCATAGAAACTTATTTTTTCCTTCAGTTTTGTCAAAGCAACAGGCTTCACAAATCCTGATTAGGAAGCGTCGTGCAAATGCTATGCTTGAAGAAACCAAACAGGGTAATCTTGAAAGAGAATGCATTGAAGAACTGTGCAATAAAGAAGAAGCCAGGGAGGTCTTTGAAAATGACCCTGAAACGGTAAGCATCTATGGAAACTCTCAAGTCCACACATTTAGACACACCACTAGAGCCGACTAAACATTTCCAGCCTGAGCGCCTTTGTATTCCATTTTAAAGTCAATAATTTTGTGTATCACCTTCCACACATAACCACTTCCATTTCAGGAGGAAGTACCTTCAGAGGAACGTGGGGTTGTTTGGCAGACATGATCACCGATAACAGCTTGTTCTGACTAAATTATAGTTCATTATCAGCAAATAGCATTGATCTCATGGTTTGTAAATATTTTCTTCTAACCAGAATTTGATAGTGTTGGGGGAGGGGAAAGGAAAACTGAAGTGTTAGCGTGCGTGTGTGTGCTAGTTTGGATTGTTATCACAGTGCTTCATTAAATTTCTCCATTGGCATTTTATTTTTATTTTTATTTCTTGAGACAGTCTTTCCGTTCCCCAGGCTGGAGTGCAGTGGCAGGATCTCAGCTCACTGCAGCCTCCACCTCCTGGGTTCAAGAGATTCTTGTGCCTCAGCCACCTGAGTAGGTGGGATTACAGGCATGTGCCACCATGCCTGGTTAATTTTTGTATTTTTAGTAGAGTCAGGCTTTTGCCATGTTGGCCAGGCTGGCCTCAAACTCCTGCGCTTACAAGATCTGTCTGTCTCGGCCTCCCAAAATGCTGAGATTATAGGCATAAGCCACTGCGCCCAGCCTACTGCTACCTTACATGAACGATTTTAAGTACATTTGTAGATATCATCTGTTACTATTATTTGAGACAAAGTCTTGTTCTGTCACCCAGGCTGGAGTACAGTGGCATGACTGGCTCCCTGGTTCAAGCGATTCTCCTGCCTCAGCCTCCTGAGTAACGGATTACAGGTGCACGCCACCATGCCCAGCTAATTTTTGTATTTTTAGTAGACACGGGGTTTCACCATGTTGGTCAGGCTGGTCTCGAACCCCTAACCTCGTGATCTGCTCATCCCGACCTTCCAAAGTGCTGGAATTACAGGCATGAGCCACTGTGCCCGGCCCTTTCTAATGTTATTGAAATTTTAAATAGATTTTAAATAGATATCAAAGTAGTGGGAACAGTGTAATAAATTTCAGTATACAAACTGCTCCACCCCTTCAGTAATGAGCAACCCTCTGCCATCTTGTTTTACCTCTTTTTATCCCATCTATTCTAATTTTTGTTTTGTTATTCTGGAATACTTTAAGACATGCCTGTCTGCCCAAGACACCACGTTGGTACATCACTCATTAATATTGAGAATGTGTTTCTAACATCGTAGGTATATTCTTACACCTTAGCCTCTAAGCAGCAAAAGCGGAGTGAGGGAGAAAGCCTCAATGCAGAGAAGGAAAGATAGGAAGGAAAACTCATTTCTGTGCTTCCTCCCTTCCACAAATTCTAACATTGGTCTCATAGACTGAAGACCAAAAAGTGACAGAAAGAGCAAGACAGAAAGGGAAGAAAGGAAAAAAAAAAGTTACCTTTTTCTTGAGACAGGGTCCTGCTCTGTCACCCAGGCTGGAGTGCAGTGGTGTGATCATGGTTCATTGCAGCCCTGACCCTCCTGGCTCAGGGGATCCTCCCACCTCAGCCTCGTAAGTCACTGAGACTACAGGTGTGTGACACAGTTTAGTCTCCCAAAGTGCTAGGATTACATGTGTGACCACAGTGCCCCCATCTCACCCCCGCCAAACATGTGTTACTGTGTTAGGATTCTCATGATTACAGGTGTGGTCATTTTCAACCCTTACCCAACCACTTACCGTCCGCATCCCGAATACCGCAGTCCACATTTCCACTCCCCACGCTACTGCTGATGCCGCCACGTCTCTGATATATACGGTTGACAGTCACAGCATCACCTTTGAATCCCATTATCCATTGTGTAGGTTTACATGTGAGAGGAGGAAGGAATGAGGCCTTTGACTCAGTTCTGGATGACCTTATGTCGGTACTTACTAAGTGGTAACATTGAGCATGTCTTTGTTTAGAAATTCTGGTTTGTCGTGAGGTGTTCTTGTGCTGTTAATGGTACACATTAGATATATTATGGCTTAAGAATGCTTTGGTGGACCAGCCTGAGAACCTTACTGTCAGAAATTTTAAACATTTTTCTCCCTTTAAGAAAGCACATTCTTTACTTCAAATGGCTGATTTACAGATAACCTTTTGGTACACAACCAATTTGTAAGTAAGGTATTACATGTACGTAGATGTACAAGATAAATGTCTACTTTAATTCACTTCAAAGTACGTCACTGTTAGCTGGGCACTTTGGCTCACATCTGTTATCCGAGCACTTTAGGAGGCTAAGGCAGGATGGCTTGTGCCCAGGAGTTTGAGACCAGCCTACGCAACATAGTGAGACCTAATTTGGCCAAAAAAAAAAATTCACAACAAAAAATTAGCTGCGCATGATTGCATGTACCTGTAGTTCCAGCTACTTGGGGGACTGAGGTGGGAGGATTGCTTGAGCCCAGGAGATTGAGGCTGCTGTAAGCCAGGGTCATGCCACTACACTCTAGCCTGGGTGATGGAGAAACCTTGTCTCAGAAAGAAAAAAAGAGTATGTTACTGTGATTCAACATTGAATCTCATGTGGGCGATCATTATGACCTATAATGTTTCAAATGGTTATCGAATCATTATGGAAAAATTAAAGGATATACAAAAAGAGGGCATGTATGATTATATTTACCATCTTAAATAGAGCCTGTTTTCCTATTACAAGTCTTTGAAACATGATTAATTGATCAGTATTGCTTTAAGCCTAAGTATCTTCTTTGTTTAATTTTATTGTTTTCTTTTGGTATATTTTACTATATAAAAAATTATAATGTGAAATGATCATTATATGTAATTTATTTGTATCTGTAGCATAAAAACACATTATAAAATTAAGTTTTAACTATATAATGTGATTTAGGTTTGCTAAGATATATGTTTTCTTTTCTTCTTTCTAGGATTATTTTTATCCAAAATATTTAGGTAAGTTCAAAACATCTCAGTTGCAGTCTTCGAAATGGAAGGGTACTTAGGTACGTTCTTGTCTAACCCTCCACCCATTTATTCTATCCAATATAATTTCATTATCCTTAGGGGTGAGATTTCACTTTATATGCAGTTTTGTTGACCTTTTATGTAAGACACGTTGACAAATTTGGAACAGTTCTTTAATTACCACATGAGATTTTAAATTTTAATGTTTTTCTTTTTCATGAAGCCCTTGGTGTGATGCTCAGTTATATTGAGGTGCAAGACGTAGTCTGTGAGCATATGAGTTTTCAAGGGTTAACGTTTTTTTTTGTGGGGCGGACAGGGTCTTGCTGTGTTGCTCAGGCTGGAGTGCAGTGGCATGCTCTTGGCTCACTGCAACCTCTGCTTCCCTGGGTTCAAGTGATTCTCGTGTCTCAGTCTCCCAAGTAGCTGGGATTACAGGCATATGCCACCACACCCAGCTAATTTTTGTATTTTTGATAGAGACCAGGTTTTGCCATGTTGGCCAGGCTAGTCTTGAACTCCTGGCCTCATGTATCCACCTTCCTCAGCCTCCCAAAGTGCTGGGATTACAGGCATGACCCACCCTACCCAGCCTTAGCTGCTGTATTTTAAAAGGGCAGTGGGATATAGATACACATCCATGAAAAAGATGTTTTCTTTTGTGAAGTTACATGTTACTCCTCACTTTTCAAAACAAAAAACAAAAATTTGTGCCATTAAAGTGTAGAAAAGATAGTCTGTCAAAACTATTTCAGCTTTTTAATTTTAAATAGAAACATAAATATTTTATAATAAAAATAGACAGTATTTGGCTCTTAAACATTATATGTGCATGAACAAATACAGTGTTAACTCTTGCTTTTGGTAAGGCCATGTAATGAGGCTGTGTTTTTGCAGACACATCACTCTAGAGCAGGCGTCCTCAAACTATGGCCCCCCGGGCCCGCATGCGGCCCCCTGAGACCATTTATCCGGCCCCCCGCCGCACTTCAGGAAGGGGCACCTCTTTCATTGGTGGTCAGTGAGAGGAGCACAGTATGTGGCGGCCCTCCAACGGTCTGAGGGACAGTGAACTGGCACCCTGTGTAAAAAGTTTGGGGACGCCTGCCCTAGAGGATACATTCCTTTGATCAGAGTACATTTGCATAAAGATAAACACCATTTTAATACAGCATTATGTGTTCTGGGGAAGTTCCTTAGATAAAATAGTTTTCTTTTCCCCTTGTCTTTCTCTTAAGTTCCACTTTTCTGGCCCCAGCTAACTTTTTCTTCTCTTTGCCTATCTTATTTGGAAACATGGTAAAAAAAACAAAAAAACAAAGTTTAAAACAAAACAAATTAAAACAAAAATGCAAGATGTGAGCTCTAGTCTTAGACCTAAAACTTTTTAGCTGTGTCAGGGTAAGCAAGTTGCTTAGCTTTCCAGATTCTGTAGTTTTAGATGTGGACTATATTTTCCAACTTCAGAGCTTTTAAATCATCAAATAAGTATGTATACATAAATAACTTACTGTGTCAAAATTTCTTCAGATGTATTCTTGTTTAATTAACCCATCATATAAAACAAAAATTACTTTTCATTATGATTTGTTTTTATTTAAATTTCATATTTTGGTTTTTATTTGTATATAGGCATGTGTGGTGAATTCCACTGTTAAAAACAATTTTTAAAAATTTCCTAAGTTAAACTGTTTTTGTTATTTGATGTTCATATTCTATAGGCCGATGGCTCTAATTTGAAAAGGAAAACAATTCTTTCTTTGGTAAATGTAACAGTAGTTTTACTAACTACAGCAGCTTATACAGGTGATCCTTGCAGTGAGATAAGGTCACCAAAGAAATTAAAGAACTGTAATCTACACATTTGGGGCAATATTTAGACTCAGTTTTCAGGGGCTAATAAAGCACGTCAGTTGGTCTACATGTTGCATGTATCTTGAAAACATGCAATTTGGAAATAATTACTCTGGGTTTCATTATAGCTTTTAAATTGTGTTCTTCTCTTTTTTAGGAAATACAATAAATAATTACCATTTCCATACGGCTAGTATCACCTAATGGAGTGGGTGTTTCTATTAATGAGAGAGAAACTTTCTGGGAAGAATCATAAACTCTGAACCTAAATATAAACATTAGAAGTCATTTTTTTTTGACATGAGTTGGCAAAAAATAAGAAAAAATTAAAAAATAATAAAGAAGGAAATTACTTTTAATTTCTAATTCCTGCCGAGTTGATGAATTAGCTCAGAGTGCTGACTTCCTTCCTTCAGATCTTCTCTAAAGAAACAATAAGATTCCGGCCGGGCGCGGTGGCTCAAGCCTGTAATCCCAGCACTTTGGGAGGCCGAGGCGGGTGGATCACGAGGTCGAGAGATCGAGACCATCCTGGTCAACATGGTGAAACCCCGTCTCTACTAAAAATACAAAAAATTAGCTGGGCATGGTGGCGCGTGCCTGTAATCCCAGCTACTCAGGAGGCTGAGGCAGGAGAATTGCCTGAACCCAGGAGGCGGAGGTTGCGGTGAGCCGAGATCGCGCCATTGCACTCCAGCCTGGGTAACAAGAGCGAAACTCCGTCTCAAAAAAAAAAAAAAAAAAAGAAACAATAAGATTCCAAGCACTGATAATAACAAAAGAAAATGAACACCAACAAGAAGTGTGGGACCTGCTGCTGTGTGTGGTGGGGGAGTCAGGCTCTAACCGATAAGGCAGGAGCCATAGACCAAACGGAGCGATCTGAAAAATGACCTGAACTTTCCCACGGAGAAAACAAACACCAGAAGTATAATAGAGCAAACCCCGAGTGACGAGAAGTTTCGGAATAACAAAAACAGAGGTAGAAAGAAGTGAAATAGAAAAAGAAAAGTGAGCATTGACAAGAGCAGATTCTCAGGCTTTGAAAACGTGAGTATGTTAGGCTGACACCTGGCAAGGATAATCAAAGAAAAACAAAACAGAGAAAGAGGAAATGCCAATACACAGAGTACAAGATAGAAAGGGACACTTCTCAATGCAACACAGATTAAAAAGATTATCATAAGTATTACAAAGAGCTATATCAAATATATTCGGGAACTAAATAAAATGGATGTGTTCACAGAAAAATGTCACATATCTGTAATTTCACAGGAAGCAATAGAGAACTCAGTTATATAAACAAGAAACAAGTTAAAACTGCAGCCAAACTCGTCTTCTTCCTATTTCTCCCAAAAACTCAGATCTAGATGGTTTTACAAAAGAACTCTTCCAAATTTTTTAAAAAATTGTTAATGTTTCTCTTATTAAGAAATTGTCCTAAAAAATGAGCTTATTCTTTTTTTTTTTTTTTTTTTTTTTTTTTTGAGACGGAGTTTTGCTCTTGTTGCCCAGGCTGGAGTGCAATGGCGCGATGTCAGCTCACCGCAACCTCCGCCTCCTGGGTTCAGGCAATTCTCCTGCCTCAGCCTCCTGAGTAGCTGGGATTACAGGCACGTGCCACCATGCCCAGCTAATGTTTGGTAAAAAATGAGCTTATTCTAAGAAGCTAGTGCAATCTTGACTCCAAAACCAAATAAGGACAACATTTAGTAAACCCATTTTAAAATTTCAGTGAGGGAATGAAAGAAAAGAAAAATATAACTCCTTTTGATTTCTGAATTAATTATAAATAAAATGATATTCAGTCCAATCTTAAGTGTGCTAAAAATAATATCATGATAAAGTAGAATTATTCCGGAAATTTAAAGATGATTTAACATCAGAAAATCAGTGGGGTACAGTGGCTTATGTCTGTAATCCCAGCTGCTCGAGAGGCTGAAGTGGGAGGATCACTTGAGGCCAGGAGTTCGACACCAGCCTGGATAGCATAGTAAGATCCCGCCTCTAAAAGTGTATTATTACCTTGGTTCATCCAGAAAAAGCAGTTGATAGAGTTCACTGCTTAGTTATGATAAAAGCTTTGGTCAAACTAAGATTGTAAGAAACGGTAGAATAACCATATAATTTATCTCCCAAATTTTTACACTTCACTTCAGGATTAATACTGCACAAGGTAAATGTCGGCCACAAAAAGAATAAAATAGGATTGTTTTGGGCAAATTGGCATGAGAAAGGAGGGGAGGGAAGAAGGAGGGAAGGAAGAAGATAGAGAGAAAAAAACAGAAAAAGAAAGAAAGTGAACAAAATCTACAGTAAACATTATACCTAATGGATAAACTTTACATACAGTTTCTTTATGGTAGAGATCAAAAAGAAAAGTACTGGAGGTTACATTCAGTGCAATAAGGAAAGAAAAATCGGGATTTTATAGATCACAAACTATAATATCTACCTGTTATTATTTTTAATTGATATAATACTGGAAAAAATCAAATCCATAGACAAAATATTAGAACACGTAAGATATTTAGATAATTCTATGACTCTCCTATAAAATCCACAGTAGTTTTTTTTATGTAAGCAATAGTCTAGTAGAAAATAAAAAGATGATATCATTCACAATAGCAGCAAATCCCACAAAATATCTAGAAATATCTTAAGAACACATAAAAACCCTATGGAGAAAATTTTAATACTCAAAGACATAGAAAGTGAATTAAAACCATGGAAAGACATTTCATGATCTTGAACTGAGTGATGCTATGAAGTGATCAGTTCTTCTCAAATTGATTTTATTTTATCATATTATATATACATATTTTTAGAGATGGGGTCTCACTATGTTGCCCAGGCTGGTGTCAATTCCTAGGCTCAAGCAATCCTCCGGCCAGGGCATCCCAAAGTGCTAGGATTATAGGTGTGAGACACTATGTGTGGCCATCCTCAAATTTATATGTTCAGAGCAACATCTTTAAAAAAATATTTTTGAGAAACTTAGCAAAATCATTTTAAAATTTAAGTGAGGGAATAAAAATCTACACATCTAAAATAAAAAAGAGAGAAACACCTCATCAAATATTAATAATACAAAACTATAGACATAAAACCATATGGTATTTTCAGAGCATGTA